AATAAAATATTCATGTTTGTTTAACTTAATTTGCACGCACAATTGAATTGTAATAGATGCAATAGAATTTGTAATAGTAATGGTTTGGTGCATATTTTAAAGCCAATTCACATTCGTTGAATATTTGGCTGCGAATGTAATGTAAATATTTTATGGAAAATACTTTCATGTTTTATGTTTAGAGAGTTTACGTCAACTCTTTTTTACTATTGACAACTGAAAAGTATAATACAATATAATTTATTAAAAACAAACTACACCATCAAATAAATAAAATGCTGTTTCAGCAAGGACTATTTTTAGCGCTCAACTTCCTTAATAGCCCACATAAAAGTTCCCAAAATAGTTTTTTATATAATTTTTTATTTATGAATATAATTAAATTAGAAAATTAATATAACAAATAATCATTTTTAGGCTCTACTGTCGTCTATACTGTTTCCCATTAAAACAAGTATATATGGCATCAGTGTATGTGAGCGCCAAACAAATTAAAGTGCCTTTCATTTTGCCAATTGTGGCGATGCTATGGATTCTGTTACTGATGAACGTCTACTGGTTTACGGTATGACATAATTGACATTCAATTAACGAGTACTTCGTTTCCTTTACTAATATAATACCTTTTTCATTGTATATTGATTTGAAGTTCATATTGAAACTGCTGTACAAAGTAATAACGGGTCAAATCAAAGAATTGGACGACAATAGAGAATATTCTGTGGATAAGAGTTCAAAGACATCAGAAGAATCAGATGAAGACCAGCTGAAGAATGGCCGCTATTATCTGAGACAAAGAAAAATTGACTATAATTTGTTACACACGGGAAGATCGCAATAATAATATTGAATTACAATAATAATGATAATAATAATATATTAATGTTTATAAACTCGTATACAGTATACTCTCTGTTGTCAGCAGATAATTAAGTGGTAATCAAATCAATGAACTTCTCGTCTCTTATATATTAGAGACGAGACATTTAATTACTTAAAGACAATAAACCTTTTTTTGTCCACAACTGTATTGCACTGACACTGCAATTAAAAGGTCCTCTCCTTTCAAGTGGTTTATTATATTTAAACAAAATATTAGCTAAAAGTTTCGACATTTAACAATTATAATTGAATGCCTTTGATATACAAAAAGTATATTTCATTAAATTTATGTGTATATAAAAATCACATATTAATTAATGTAAAAGTATTTTAGACATTATGTGTCTATACTTCTCTAAAATAACTATAATTTATATTCTATTGTAATTGTTATCCAGGAATTTGATTTTATAAAGAGTTGTTTTATACGATTTTTATTCAATTCTTAAGTTTACAAATAAATTACTATATATTTAATTTTTTAATTAATAATTTTGATTGGATTTTTAAATATTATTATTCTTAATAATGAGAGTCTGTTTTACAAATAACTTGTTGTCTTTAATGTAAATAAGTTTTGACATTATATAAAAAAAAGTTATTGAATTTTAATATTAAAAACATTTATTTGCAATACTTTGCATTTGCATTAATTAATGAAAGCCATCGATTGTATTGAGATTTCCAACTAATAAATCTTGATTTTCAATATGAGGATCAGTGCTGCCAATCATAACATGAGGATTGTGTTGATATGTTTGGCGAGGGTTTGCATAGACAGGTGTCTGTCTTTTATCTTTATCTAAAATCACTCCAATTTTAAGGCCAGGACTGCTGTTAGTGTTAGCCGAATGGCCAGCCGATGACCCCCTCCTCTCAGAGCATAGACACCACAGCAAACATATTGACAAAATTACAATTACAACAAGTGTTATACAAATTAACGCTATAATAGTAGTGATGGGAAGCGATGTCATGTTTGGCTCAATTCTTTGCTTACGTTTGCAATTGTATTAATGAATGCAATGACTAATTAATAACAAATATACGTAAATTTAATAAAAGAGTTGTATTGTATAATATGATGTGAAGACTATAGATGAGGTCAATGGAGAGCTATTTTAAGGCCAGGAATTTTTCAATTAAACAAACAAATATTTAGATAATTTATTTTTTTAAACGTTTGAGTGAAACGCGTGCAATACATACAGTGTATGCAAATGTATATATTGTTTAAAAGTATATTTTATAAATAAATAGTCTAATAATGCGAGACGTGAGATAAAACACAGAATCATGTTTTA